GTTCAATAAAGTTGGACTTTTTTCTCCTCGAACGACTGTAAACTTTAACTGAATTTGTCAAATAATCCTGAAGTCCAATGCAATTGAAATACCCTCAGAAATAAATGGGTCACTCGATATATAAAAAGAGAACTCCTTTCTTTTCTTTTTATGCAGCTGTTCAACGATATATATATATATATATATATATATATATATATATATATATATATATATTTTAACTTGTTCTTGCGTCATCGCCTTTCTGTCTGGGTGAATGATTCAAAACCTAACTGTATGCTTTCAAAACGCAATAGAAGTCGAAATTTCGCAGCTGAATCGTACTTACTGACCCCTGGTTCATATGCCCAAGGCACGAAAATCTTTTATAGGCAACATTGCCTCAAATAATGGCATCAGATCCATATGATAAATTCCCGACTACAGGAGAAACGTGAAGCGAGCCACCCATCCCCAAAAACTATTTTTTTCCATTCTTGGGGAAATTGCATTAATTATATAACCCATTGCATATCTACTACAACTAAATACGCCATTTTAGTGTAGAACCATTTGAAGTAGATACAAAAAGGGATATCCAATGCGTTTTTTTTTTATAATTCATTCTTTTCATCTTTGTCGCCATATTTATTACAACGTTTCGGCCGTTGTACGCTCTGGCCTTCTTCAGGTGGTTGGAATGTCGAACTGAACCCTTTATTTCGCTCTCTGGGGTAGACTGTTCTAGTTCCACGTGCCATGTTTAATGGATGTCAGTTATCAGTTATCTCCTTCCTCCAAGTAATCCACATGGCACAGTGGATAAAGGCGTTGTGTTAGATCCAGTGCCAGAACCCAGAGAGTGTGAGTTCAATACCCGGTTAAGACAGTGGAATATCTATATCTATATCTATATACACGCGCACACACGTTTTGTCCACTCGGTGATTTAATCAAAGTAAATCTAAGGATTTCATTTTGCAACTTGTATTTTTAAAGAAATGTAAAAAAAAATATATATCACTATCACTAAGTTTTTTAAAAAATTATATATAAGGATGTTCTAAAATATTCCTAGACCTGTGTAAGTAAAAGTAAATTTAAACTATGGATGACGCAAAGTGATTTAAATTAATGCCTAATTAACGAAAGTAAATAATTGCTGTTCATGTTGTTGAATTTTATTTTGTTTGTTTATATATATAGTTATATTTTTATTTAGTTTTTTAATTTTTGATGCAATTATGATATATTGTTTTCTTTCAATTTATACGTATTTATTTCAAATAACAGTAAGTATTATTTTAAATAATGGTAGGATTAATTTTAAATAATGGTAGGTTTTATTTTAAATAATCGTATGATTTTTAAATAATGGTAGGTTTTATTTTAAATAATCGTATGATTTTTAAATAATGGTAGGTTTTATTTTAAATAATACTGACTTTATTTTAGTTAATAGTTGTTTTTTTTAAATGATGGTAGGTTTTATTTTAAATAATAGTATTTTTTTTAAATAATGGTAGGTTTTATTTGAAATAATAGTAGCTTTTATTTTAAGTAATAGTAGGTTTTATTTTATATAATACTAGTTTTAATTTTAAATAATATAGGTTTTATTTTAAGTAATAGGTTTTATTGTAAATAATGATACGTTTATTTTAAATGATAGTAGTTTTTATTTCAGTTTACCTCTTAATTTTCATTTTTGAAAGTACTTAATGTCATGTATGTTGGCTTGGGAAGGAAGCATTTTAATTTTAAGAAAGGAAATATTTGAAAAAAAGAAAAAGCTTTACCTTTAAGTAAATTACTCTTTCTCTTAATAATGGCGGCATTCTTTACATTGAAGTTGCGGTTGAACGTATTTCTGTGTATAACTAATGCATTGCATAAATTCTTCTGCATGAAGTCCTTTTTATGTTTATGAGCACGTTTTACTATTCATTTCTGCAACTTATCTACAATATATTGTAAGATATAGACATATATATATATATATATATATATATATATATATATATATATATATATATATATATATATATACTGTGTTCTTGATCAAACCGAATTCATAAATAATTACATCGGTCACACGACTACATGCCTATTCAGACGTCTTGCGTCACACCACAGCTCTATTCGAACACATTTAAACAAAAACACAAACTTGCCAGACTCCATCCGAAACATACGAGTAGAAAATACAAACGTAATAACCTTATCCACCTGTAAAAAAATAAAGATTAAAAATAACGGAAGCCTTAATAATAGACAGAAAGAAAAAAAACAACCCTTAATAGTATTCACTCAGAACACCGCCACAATGTGCTGTGCTTGGAAAATAAATCATCAGTAATAGTTAACGGCTTGGATTGGGGAATCGAAGATTTTAATGGATTCGACTGGAATTCGAACTTTGCTCTCCGATTCATCAATCCAAGCCGTTAACCATTACTGATGGTCAGATAGGTGTATCACATATATATAATATATATATAATATAATATATATATATATA